GGGATAAAGGAAGGGTGGATATGGGAGCAGGGAAGTATATAGCCTAATTAAGGGAGCCATCTTAGGGTTGTCAAGAGACTTGACTCTAGAGGGGCTGCAGGTGTCCAGGGAGATGTCCCCAGATGGTACCTTGAGTAACTGAGAAGAGGGAACCTGAAATGACCCTATCCTATAGCCATAATGATGAATATCTTGCATATCACCTTAGAACCTTCATCTGGCGATGGATCGAGATAGAGACAGAGACCCAAATTGGAGCACCAGACTGAGCTCCTAAGGTCCAAATGAGGAGCAGAAGGAGGGAGAAAATGAGCAAGGAAGTCAGGACCACGAGGGGTGCACCCACCCACTGTGACAGTGGAACTGATCTATTGGGAGCTCACCAAGGCCAGTTGGACTGGGACTGAATAAGCATGGGATGAGACCGGACTCTGAACATGGCGGACAATGAAGGCTGATGAGAAGCCAAGGACAATGGCACTAGGTTTCGATCCTAATGCTTGAACTGGCCTTGTGGGAGCCTAGCCTTTTTGGATGCTCACCTTCCTGGACCTGGGTAGAAGTGGGAGGACCTTGGACTTTTCGCAGGGCAAGGAATCTGGACTGCTCTTCAGTCTCGAGAGGGAGGGGGAATGGAATGGGGGGAGGGGGAGAGGAGTGGGGAGAGGGGAAGGGGAGTGAGAGAGGGGACGATGTGTGGTAGGAGGGGGAGGGAAATGGGAAACAGGGAGGAGGCAGAAATTTTTTTTCAACAACTAAATAATAAACAAAAATAAATAAATAATAAAAAAGAGAAAGCTTATTAGAAAAGATGGTTGAGCATCATGAGGACCTAATATGGAACTTCCTATATATCAAAAGCCAAACCTGGACCCAGTAGTGGTGGCGCATGCCTTTAATCCCAGTACTCAGGAGGCAGAGGCAGGCAGATCTCTGTGAGTTCAAGGCCAACCTGGTCTACAAGAACTAGTTCCAGGACAGGCTCCAAAGCTACAGAGAAGCCCTGTCTCAAAAACAAAACAAAACAAAACAAAAAAAACTCAAAAAACCAAACCAAACAACAACAACAAAACAAACAAACATGGGCACACAGGGCTCTGTAACCCTAACTCTTTGACAGGTAGTGGAGGAGGATTCTGGGTCTTGGTAGCTGTCACCTTAATTCCAGGTTTAGTGAGAGATCCTGTCTTGAAATAATAAAGCAAATTATAAAGTAGGTGCCCTTCATCACCCTCTGACCTCTGTGTATGTGTATGTGGTGTACATGCACATGTAACCCCTGAACATACAGACATGCCCAGATGCATACACACATGTATGAGTGCACATACACACACACACACACACACACACACATACACACACACACACACACACACACACACTGAAAGATTACTGAGAAAACTGCCATTCATTCACATACTATTTTCCTCTCTCATGAAGTCAGTAAGATCTCTACTATTTTAAAAGTAAATTTGGTTAGAAATTTAAGGAAGAAAGATCGATAGTGCTCATTTTGGCTTTTTTAGTCCTCTCACTCTTTCCAGGTGGAAAAATGTGAGAACAAATAAACTTTTAGTCCATTTGAAAGGCACATTAAGAGGTTCAATTCTTTGCAAAGTGTAGGAAAACCTCCTGGAGAAAGACGGATCGGCTAGTCTTCTGACACAAGCTGTGGCTCTCATTTAAATTCCTTCCACTTGATCCAGCACGTGGAGACATATCTGAAATAATACAATTCCTCTTCTCCCTTATGACTGGGTAACGCAGAAACTCCTCTCAGCCCTTCTCTCAGCCAAAAGTGTGTGTTAATGGACTGATGTGTGCTTAATAGTAGAAGCATTCCTGGGTTCTTAGAGGACCTACCACCCTGTATCATAGTGAAACTGCATTTGGGAACCACGGCCTACAAATCTCTGTGTTCAAACATCTTATCAATCAGCAAGAGACAGCTCAGTGCCAGCTCACATTTTTATTCTCTAAATAAGGAGGATCGTGGTTTAAATTTTATGACTGTGAACATGAAAAATATTATTATTCAAAGTGAATAACTCACAGCTATTAGCAGAAATCTAATAAATATTAGAACACTCCTCTGACTGCAGATTTACTGACAACTCTTACAACCCCATGGATGAGGCCCTTCACTCAGTATGGAGGGAATGGATATTTATTAATCAGCTTCCCAATGCTACGCTGAGTATTTCAGGTACTCCTTTCTCATTACTGGCTGCTGTAGTCTTAAAAAGTCATTTTTATGGTTGTACATGTGTGTGTTTGTGAGGGAATGTTACACATGCACGTACATGAAAACCAGAAGACAGCCTTAGGTCCCACCCTAAGTAACATAATCTACTTCCTCTGAGACAAGGTTCTTCTTTGGCCTGGTGCTCACTACTTAAGTTAGACTAGCTGCCAAGCAAGGTCCAGGAATCCAACTGCCCTCAACCACCCCAGACTGGGATTACAGTGTATGCCTTCTTGGTCAGCTTTTTATGGTGTCTTTGGATCAAAGTATGGTCTCTGTGCTTCAAATATAAACACTCTTCTGACTAGGTCATCTTTGAAAGCTGAAAAGCAGAATTAATGCACTCGAGTGAGCAAGAGCTGGCCTTGTTTCTTGGCATACAGTGAATGCAATATGGCAGAGATGATAGGTTGCCGTGTTCAAAATTAGCTTACAGAAAGACTATTGCTTCTGTTTTGGGTGTTGTCACTGCTAATATTGATTGACAGTTTGACAGGATGTAGAATAACAGGGCATGTCTGTGAGAGAGTTTCTACACTGGGTTAATTGAGGTGGGAAGCCCCACCCTCAGTGTGCGAGGCACCATTCCACTGACTGGAGTCCTACACTGAATAAAATAAAGAAAGAGAGCTATGCATTCATATCCCTCTGTTTCCACACTACAGATTCAATGTGCCCTACCAGCTGCCTCAAGTTCCTGTCATCAAGACTGTGCTCTCAAGCTATGAGCTGAAATAAATTCTTCAATCATGAAGCCGAGGTGAGAGACACTACATCAAGAGAATAAGGTGGAAAGTCCTAGAGTAGAACAATGAAATGACTTTCAGTGATCTTCTGTTACCCTGCCCTGCCTTCCACACATACTTGAGGCTTTCCCATGGCCTGACTAGACTGTGACTATTGTATCATATTATTAATATTTAACTTAATATTATCCAGTCTATTTTGGTAATAAAATTAATAGACCAATAGGAGAATGGCATCTAAACAGAGCCTAATACATTGTAGTGAAATCTGTGGTGCATGACGGTTCACAGCACAGCCAGGGAAGATTGGACTTGGATTGTTAAGGTTCAGATTTCTCACAGGGTCTGTTGACTGACCCAGGTGCCCCAGCCCCAGCCTAACCACATGGTCCAACCTCAATCAGTACTTGCCATCTAAGAAAGCACAGTGCCACTCTACAACCAGGAGATACCCATAAGCCAGTTCTTCTGTTTAAGAAACTCAGCTTGAGGCTGGAGATGCAGCTTTGTGACCTAGAACGCTTGCTGCTCTTTCAGAGCAAGTGTGTTGGATGACTCACAACTGTCTCTAATTCCACCTACAATGCACTCTTTTGACTTCAATGTGCAAATATCCACAAATACATGCTCTACACACCGTGCAACACACACATGCACACACACACACACAGGCACATGCATATGCACATATTTTAAAAAACACGAGAAATTCAATGGAGGGTCTGGAGTACTGAAAGTAGAACTGCCTGTGGATCTATACCACTGAGATTGAAAATCCACACAAGAAAGTTAATGCTTCAGGGTAAGAAGATGGTCCAGTTAATAAAGTGATTGCTATAAAGGAGCATGAAGACCTGAGTTCAGAGTCATAGAAATCACATTTTAAAAAATGTTACCATATGATGGTGACCATTTATAGCTCCAGGTCTGGGGAGGCAGAGACAGGGGAACTTCTGGATTTTACCAGACATTCAGCCTAGTATACTTAGCAAGTTACAGACCAGTGAAAACACCAGTTTCAAAAGGTTATAAAAACAAATAAAAGCAGAAGGCATCTAACAGATAATACTCAATAAGGACATTTATTTTCTATTGCATATGCATACATGTACTCATATATGCACACACAAGCATGCTCGAGGACACTACACAGACACCAAAAGACACACACACACGCAGAGAGAGAGAGAGAGAGAGAGAGAGAGAGAGAGAGAGAGAGGACCTCAGCCAGTATATACTTAATGTCTTCAAAGTGTATTTAACAAATAAAATTATTAAAGTTCACTAATAAATATTAAATAAAACTTAGGGACTGTGAAAAAGAATTCCCAAGATCTTTTGGGAGACATGGAAGGCAGATATATTCTAAACAAATTTTCAGTTCTATTATTTTGAACATGTGATTCTGGAGACACTTAGGCAGCCCTTCATTTGCTAATGTATAAAGTTTGAAAGACACCCATTTCCTGGAGTGGCCATGGTAAAGATGATACACAATGTGAGAAATCACTGCACAGGACCAAGCAGGCCACTTCACAGGTGGTATAGAGTGTGCTCAATCCTCCTGGATGGGAACTCTTCACTGCACAGGACTAAGCAGGCCACTGCACAGGTGGTATAGAGTGTGCTCAATCCTCCTGGATGGGAACTCCTACTTCCACTTTCCTGATGATACTGCAGAGAAACAATTGAGACATTTGCTGGAGCACAAATGGTTAATTCAGACTGTTCGTGAGGGAGAGCAAGCCCCCTTCACATTTATAGTGAACCTGCCACAACTAGCCACCCCTCACCCCTAAGGATGATTCGGGTACTCTTTAGGCAGAAACACAACCTTTTTTGACTTAAGAAGCCATTATAAACAAAAGGAAGAGAAGGAAGGAGGGGGGAACGTGAAGTAGAAATGGAAAGGGGAGAAAGAAGGAGGAAAAGAGGAAGAAAGTAAGATAGAAAAGGAAGGAAATGTAGGGAAGAAGCAATTAAAAGGAAGGCTGCAATGACTGTACCTGTAAGGATTTCAGTTCCATGTCCTGCCACTTTCTTAATCAGGAGCCTCAGAGTCCCACCCTCCAGCATGAGCATCAGGGTCCCTGAGCCTTCAGACAGCTCCGTAGATAGAAGCAGGCCATCCCTATTCCATGTTCGAAACTGGAAACTCACTGACAGTCCGTCAATCTGGGGGGTGCCGGGCAACAGCAGGTAACTGCTTCTGGAGCTGACAAACGTGATGGGGACTAGTTGTGGTTCTGAGCAGGAAAAAGTGACATTGCCCTGAAACACAATAAAAAGCAGACATAGAAAAGCCATTTTTATTCCACAATCTGACAGTCAGTATAAACAACCGTCCAGCGCTGACCTTAATTTCGGGATCATTCCACATTCACCTTCATGATCTCAAAGGAAAAATATGTTATTTTGGCTCAGACAGACTCAGAAGATTGCTTCTTGTTCATGTTTTAAGATCCCAGTGCTATCTGTGAAGGAAGCCTGAGATTTCAAGAAGATGGAGCGGAAAGAATCTTCTATATTCAAAAAATATAAAAATAATTACATTAACACCCTGAGAAAAACCATATGGTGAGTCAACCATGTAACAAACTGGAATCACATTGAAAGAAATACACATAGGATAACACTGCTGTAAAGAGGAATATGATTAAAAGGGAAATTGATCCTGGCTCCCAAGGAAGAATGGCATGGGAAGAAAAAGAGAGATGAAAGATTTTCTAAGCAAATGATGCTTTCATGAAAATGAGGTGGGCAAATAGAGGGAGGAGTGTGCTGTGATTGCAATTGTCTGTGAAGAGTACACGGGAAAACCTTTGGGAAATTAGTAAAATGGAATTGCTGGTGATCAACAGAGAGATTCAAGGAGCTAGAAGGAATTTCAAATTCCAAGGACAGAAGACAGGAACAGAGAACAACGCTAAGGTGATGCTGGCTGCATTTTAAATTCTGTAAGAATATTTGCGGAGTAAGAGTAAGGACTGAAGGAGAGGGTTGAACGTGAGAAATATCAAGAATGTATTAGTTGGCCATGTAGCTCATTTTGCTGAATTCTTATCTAGCATTCACAAAGCCCCTAGTAAATCTTTAGCAGCTTATGACCTAGGCACCGTGTTGCACACTTGTAATCTCTTTGCTTAGGAGGGAGAGGCAGGAGAATCCGAAGTTCAGTTTCACCCAGGGCTACTAAGTGAGATTGAGGCAAGCCTGGACTACATGAGACAACAAAAAAGAACCAGTTTTTAACTAAAGTAGAAAAAGCAGAAATCAGATTACTATTTTCCTGGACCCTTGTATATCCAAGTCCACAAAATAAGTTCCAATTTAGGAAGTTATTATAAATTAAACAATGAATTTCTGTGCTCAACCCCAAATATTGACTGTTTATCTAGAAGAGTAGAGAAGAAAGGTTGGACTACTATTTGAGTAGTGGAAAAGGGTTCTTTTGGAAAAGCCATTTGCTGTCTGGTTAGCACACTCTACATCCAAACATGTCATATCTTCAATTGCACTACACATCCCCTTTAGCCTCTAGAACTATCTCCACAGAAATGAATGACCATCATTAATGTCATTGCAAGGTGTCACACATTGTATCCCCTGCAGATGTGTTCTTCCAAAACCATTGAACTGCAGTTTTTGCATAATCAGGTGCGATTTTTCTTACCTTTCTGTGGTGTGGGAAGTACTTCTGTATATGTGTTGCTTTTATTATTTAATGAATAAATAAGTTTGATTAGCCTGTGACAGGTCAGAATGGAGCTAGGTGGGGAAAATCAAACTGAATTCTGGGAGAAAGAAGGCAGAGTAAGGAGAAGCCACGTAGCCATCAGAAGGGAAAGACATGAGCTGCTTACTGGAACCTTGCCAATAGGCCAAGGGCCTCGTGATAAAATATAAAATAATGGAAATGGGTTAATTCTGGATGTAAGAGCTAGTTAGCTATACACTTAAGCATTTGGCCAAACAGTATTGCAAACAATATGGCTTCTGAGTGATTACTTCAGGGCTGAGCAGCCAGAAACAAACGAGCAGCCTCTTACTCTGTGTCTCCCCAAGCCAACACCACTTATGGAAATCAGAAAGAGCCAGTCAGGGGAGCGTGCTATCTGGAGTAGCTGCCTGAAATTAATTTCCACCCAGGGCCCATGTGTCAGAAGGAAATACTTAGTGCAGATCAGGAAGTCGGAAGTCTAGGCCACAACAATACTTTCCAGGAAAGACATTCGCAGGCCTTGGTTTCAGTGAGTAAGTTACTTGCTGTGCAAAAATGCCAAACTGAGTTCAGACCTTCGGAACCCAATTTAAAACCATATGTGGCAGTGTGCACTTGTAATCCCAGAACAAGGAGGTGGCTACAGGTGTGTTCTGGATGTTTGCTGACTAGGCAATCAATTTACCAAACAGATTACTCCAGCAGAACTCTACCCTCACTCAGTGCCCCTCAATACACACTTCCTTCCTCATCACCATACCTCACTTCCCAACTTGGCCAAAAGATTGGTGTTATATAAAAGGCCATGCTACCACCCAGAAATCCAGTCCTCAGCTTGGACAGACACTCTATACTGGATCACAGATCATGCCAGCTCCCAGAAATCTAGAACACAAAGACCAGAAGACCAAAGAGGAAACAGAAACCAAGGAGCAAAACACGCATTCAGTAAATACAAACTCAGAAATCAGCACATAGACATACAATCATCCTAAACTCATATGCCTAAGTGCTGGTTTAAGAACACAGTCAACAACATCTAGGACAATATGGTACCATCACTACATAGGTATCTTAAGACATCAAGACCTGAATATGCCAAAGCAGCTGAAAAACAAGACAATACCCTTAAAATACCTTTATTAAGGTGATAGAGGTCCTTAAAAGAGGAAATAAAAAAAAATCCTTTTAAGAAATTGAGAATAGCCAGGCATGGGAGTACACGCCTTTATTCCAAGCACTCCTGAGGCAGAGGCAGGTGTAACTCTGTGAATTTGAGGCCAACCTGGTCAACAAAGACAGTTACAAGAAAACTTGGGTTTTGTTGCACAGAGAAACCCTGTCTTGAAAAATCAAGAAAAAAAATCAGTAAATCCCCTACAGAATACCAAGAAAGTCACACAAACACACACACACACACACACACACACACACACACACACACACACACAAAATAAATAAAAGGGGAAAAAAAACAAGTGAAGGAAACTGTTTACGATCTGAAAGTGGAAATAGAATTTAAAAAAACACATACTGAATGAATAATGGTACTGGAAAATCAAGGTAAGTGATCAGGAATTACAGATACAGGCAACATCAACAGAGATGGAAGAGAACATAGAAAATCATAGGAGTGGAAGATACTTTAAAAAAATAGATTCATTGGTCAAAAATTCCTAACACAAAATATCTAGGAAATCTTGGGCTCTGTGCAAGGACAAAGCCTATAAATAGAAATAGAAGAAAAAAATTCAAGCTCAAAAATCTAGAATATATATTTACTTAACTCAATGGTTTTCCTAACCTAAAGCAGGATATATGTATAAAGGTACAAGAAGGTATAGAATACTAAATAGATTGTACCAGAAAAGAAAATCCATGTGCCACATAGTAATCAAATACTAATCATACAGAACAAAGAAACAATATTAAAAGCTTCAAGGAAAAAAATCAAATAACACAAAAGCAGATTAATAAAAATACACCCAACTTTTCAATGGAGACTCTGAAAGCCAGAAAGGTCTGGACAGATGTCTTGCAGACTACAAAAGACTACAGATGAAAGCCCAGAATTCTAAACCCAGCAAAAAAAAATCATTCCCCATAGTGAAAACAAGATAATTCATGACAAAGTCAAATTTGAATAATATATATCTATAAATCCATCCCTACATAAGGTTAACTACTTCCATGAAAACAAAATAAATAGATATTATCATACTAACAAAACCCAAATAAGGGAAACAGACACACACACATACACACACACACACACACACACACTATCTCTACCATCAAAAGCAACAAAATAACAGGAGTTCACAATCACTGGTCATTAATATCTCTCAATATATGTACTCAATTTCTCCAAACAAAAGACTCTAAGAGAATGGGTATGAAAACTTGATACATCATTTTGCTGCATACTCAAACACACTTCAACAACAAAGATAGACATTGCCTCTGAGTAAAGGGTTAGAAAAAGATTTTGCAAGCAAATGAACCCAAAAAGCAAGCTGGAACAACTGTTCTAATATCGAACACAATGGACTTTAAATCAAAATTAATCAAAAAAGATGTAAATGGATATTTCCTTTTCATCAAAGGCAAAATCCATCAAGAAGATGTCTAAATTCTGAGCATCTATGCTCCAAGCACAATGTCACCCCCACTTGTTAAAAAAAAAATTAGGGCAAAGTGGTAGTGGCGTATGCCTTTAATCCCAGCACTCGGGAGGCAGAGGCAAGTGGATCTCTGTGAGTTCGAGGCAAATCTGGTCTATAAAAGCTAGTTCCAGGACAGGCTCCAAAGCTACAGAGAAACCCTGCCTTGAAAAAACAAAAATAAATAAATAAATGAATGAATATTATTAAATGATAAATCAGATATCAAACCACACACATTAATAATGGGAGACTTCAAGACCCCACTCTCACCAATGGACAGGCTATTTAGACAAAACTAATCAGAGAAGCAATGGAGTTAACAGATGTTATGAATTGAATTGACCTTACAGACATCTACAAATATTTCACCCAAACACAAACAAATATAGTTTCTTCTTAACACTTTAGGGAAGATTTTCCAAAATTGATCACAAACCCCCTCTCTCTCTCAACAAATAAAGGAAAATTGAAATAACCCCCTGTATACTTTCGGTCTATGGATTAAAGCTAGATTTCAAAAATAGCAAAAACAATAGAAAGCCTAAAAACTCATGGAAACTGACCAACTCCCTACTGAATGATAATTAAGTCAAAGCAGAAATAAGAAAGCACTTAAAGATTTCCTAGATTTCAATGAAAATGAACACATAGCATACCCAAACTTGTAGGAGAAAGTGAAAGCAGTTCTAAAAGGAAAGCTCATAGCACTACATAAGTGCCTACATAAAGAAATTGTAGGGTTCTCCTACTAGCAACTTTAGAGCACAGCTAAAAGATTTAGAACAAGGAGGAACAAGCATACCCAAAAAAGTAGATGGCAACAAATAATCAAACTGAGCTGAAATCAATAAAATAGAAACAAGGAGAACACAAAAAATTATTAA